AGCTGTTCTCAGTGCCTACAAAAAGAAATCCCAATCCCAGCATCATCTGTTCTGGGCATATTAGCATCAGACTGATGCATGTGCAGGAAAAGTGTACTCAGGCAGCAAAACCTTCTCTGACATAAGGATGCTCTGAGAAGTGCCTGTAGACCTTAGACTTTTTTTTCATTTTCTGTAGCTGATGTTATTCTAGTCTTCTTGTAATGCAGGCAAAGAACATGCCCCCTAACCTTCTCTGATCGTAAGGATGATGCATAGCATATGCCGAGTACCACAAAAATAATTTCGAGCCTTCTATCTCTATTAAAATAATATAGCAGCAGGATGTGCAGGATTTATGACTATTCTAGTACTTACTTTTCTTAAGGCCAGGTGGGTATAATTTAGAAAGGGAGACGTTTCTTTGAAATGATGGCTTGTACAGTGCGCCGAACAATGCTTTGCGCAAGGAAGGAGCATTCACAGTTGTGTCTCCTGTCTAATGAGCTTAGTGATGTACAACCAAGTGTTTAAATGTACTGAAACAATTACGCAGCTTTCTCAATCTAGCTGGTGCATCGGAAACTCAGTTCAGCTTCAGCTGATGTTGATGCTGTCCCTGAGTTGCAGCTAACTACTTGTTTTAATGATGTAGCAATTAGCTAAATTACATCGGTCATCCTCTGGAGTTTAGCTGATCACCATATCCAAGGAATACAGTTTAAAAAAAAATAGCGCAGGCCAGATCTTGAATTCATTTTGCATGTGTGTGCTTTCCCCCTGCAGGATGACAGTTTAACGATGGAGAGGTTGAACACTTATGTTGTGAGTGCCAGCATTGAAAATGCATCAATTCAGAACCTTAACGAGCCCGTGACTGTCACTCTCCACCACATAGACCAGAACAGGGTAGGATGTGTTCATTTCATCAGAGATGGGGTAAAAGGCAAAGCTGACTTCACATTTTCAATAAACTGGGAACAGGAATAAACTTAAAATACCTTGCTGCCTCACCTCTCCATGATGCATGGACCCAAACACTGACTGACCACACACATCTCAGTGTTTAATAATTCCTTGCAGGTCACTACAGCTTGTGTCTGCACTCTAAATCCATACTTAGCAACAAGGGACATTCTTACTGTTTCCTTGTTCTGATCTAGGCAATTTTTTTTTTCAAAGAATAGTTTGTTTGTCAGAAAATAGTGGGGCTTGGATTGGACTGAAATGATTTATCCTTGATCTGAATTTGGAAAATAGGTCAGGTCACCAAAAGAGAGGAACTTTAAAAAAACCCAAAACCTTGCGAAGATGTTTTAAAAATCAAATTGCTTTGTTTTGTTTAAGTCTATTTTAAATTTAAGTTTAGACTTTAACCTAAAGTCTAAACTTAGTCAAAGTCTAAACAGACTTGAGGTTAGTCTATTTTTAAGTGGGCATGGGTCAAACTTGTTGATTGAATTCCTCAGAATTTTTGTGCTGCCAATGTTTAAGGTCCAGCCTCCTCATGACTACATTACAAACCCAAGGCAGAAGAAAATTACTCAATAAGATGAACTTGGTTAGAGTTTGAGTTAATGAGGACTTGTAATTGCTGTTTTCGTGGCAAAATGCTCTTTCCATCCAGCAAATATATACCCAGAAATTTCACCCAGATATTCCCTCTCTTCTGTCATTTTTACCAGACCATCTGGCACCTTTCAGATTTTTTTCCTTGACCTTTTAAAATTATCTTAATTAAATATTTAATGAGTTGTCATCCAAACCTACATCTTTGGCTCTGTGCCTAATTATATTTGACAGCCTGCAAATCACACATCTTAACAGCTTCCTGTAAACTCTGTGCATTATTAGACTTTATTAATGATATAATAATAATAAAAGTAAATGAATCTGTGCCCTGGGAAAGTTTGCAGCATTATGAGTAACAAACTAGAATGTCTCCAAGAGAAATTATTGGATTGAATATCCATTTACATCTGTTCAGCTCTCACTTGCCTTTCCTGCCTGATTTCAGAGAGAGGGAACTACTGAAATTCTTAAGTAAAGGTTTCTTGTAGGGTTTTTTTTTTTTTTTCCAAATGTATAAAATCTCAGATTGTTATTGCAGGTCTTAGTCATAACTTTTGAATTTCACCAGTAATTTGGTGTGACATCTCAGACACCGCATGGACCCAATGAGATTAGACACGGGAATTGGTCTAAGGTGAACAATTTGTCAGATTTGCTGCTGTCCTTAAAAAACTACAAGGTATTGAAAGATACAGGTAAAACTGGGAAAATCACTGACTCGCAGGATTTCCCTTGGAAAAGGGGAAGGCAAAAAGTGGGGCTCTGCTAGTTTAGTGCCATGGGTGAGATGGCTAATATCCTGGCTGGCTCCTCAAGCCCAAGTGTCTGGCTGCCCCGTATTTCGTGGTGTCTCCACTCACACACAGACCCCCTGCAGCACCGCACACAAATAATCACAGACATAAGTGGGCTTTGCTGCCAAGCAGTGCAGGGGTAATCAAATCCAAGTGCCTTGGTTATACACCCCAATTCGAGGTGAGATGCACCATCTGCAACTGCAGACGGAGTGCATATGTCCTGAAGAAATGTCACAGCCTCCTTTCTTCTGTTTCCAGGGCAATGCAGCAGTACACTGCGTCTTTTGGGACTTCGGGAAAAACAGTAAGTGTTATTTGCTGTGCTGGCTCTGTCCCCAGAGGCTTTGGTTTCTTGACATTGCACCTTGAAAGTTGAGTGTGTGCTGCTGCTTTGTGTTGATATCAACACTTCAGTACTCAGTGTTTTCCCCAGGGACCTGGATATGGCAGTGTGCAGTGCTGCGTCTGCACAAATAAGAAGACTTTGCTAAAGAAAAAGGCAGAAATTCAGATGAACTCTTACCATGACTTCAGGGAATACAATAGGGGCTTTGCTGGGATTAGGTCTTTAAAATGGCTCAGACAATCACCGGAGAGAGATAACTGTGAATTGGGTTAACTCGGAGCATGTGGGAGAGGTTTCCTCTACAATCACTAGGAGTAGAAATGATTTGCTTGTTTTTGATCAGAATCTTAGCTTCTGAATGTGTGATGCAGACCACAAAAATAGGGTCATAACATTCGGTCTTACCAGGGAAGACCTGGCTGTTTCAGTGCTGCACTCTGCCTAAACAAACCCTCTGCCCTGTGTGTTTCTTTTCTTCTGTTTCCGCACCCTCCAGCACAATCTCCCCCAGCACTAGGTTCTTTATCTTCTTTCTATGAGTACAGATATGTAAATGACTTTAAATATTTCTTCATTCCACTAAAAGCTTTCATCCAAATTTTGAGGTCCTCAGGCAACTACAGAAGATGTGTTTCAGTGTGAAATCTCACTTGTGTGCTGCTAAATGACCCTGCAATCTGTACTAACTTGAGCTTGTCTTCACACACCCTGCAAGCTGCAGAGCTATAAATGATGGAGGATGACTAACTCTGCTTAAAAATCCTTTTTCTTTATTACACAGATGGACTGGGTGGTTGGAATACATCGGGGTGTGAAATGGAATATACAGATATGAATTATACAATCTGTTTCTGTAACCATCTTACCCATTTTGGAGTCCTACTGGTGAGTACACCATGAATCATCTCCCAGAAAGTCCCGTGGTGCTAAACAAAGTCATCTCTAGCTTTGGAGAAGAGGTGGGAGATTCATATCTATACAAGCTCTTAGATATCTGCAATGTTGCCAAAATCAGCAATACAAAGAAAACAGTAATAATAATTTAATGGTGTAAAGTCCTTTAAACTGCTTTGAGGCAGTTTTGTTTTACAGATGTAGTTTGTACTTTGCAGTGTAACTTAATCAACCTTAATATGTGTTGGAAATACTGTGTTAAATTTATCAACTGCCAGCGACAACTAATGACATTACGCCTTCTTGAAAGTTTTATCTATGCTCCATCAGAAAGTGAAGTTTAGTATAAATATAGGAGATGTCATTATCTAGCACCTCTTATTTCTCTGCAATATAGAGAAAACTGCCCCTAAAAGCAAAATGTCAAAAGCTGGTACAACTGCCTGAGAATGGGCTGCACAAAAGGCAAAGAGACAGGCGGGTTCTAAGCAAATCAGGTAGATTAAATTGTCTATTCCTGGTAGGACACAGCCCACAGGATGGGGTGAGGCCCCACCTTTGCCTTTGGATGCTTCCCCTGTCAGCATGACCCTGCTCCAGAGGCAAAAGCTCTCCTGGGAGTAAAATTGTGGCTTTACAAGAAGGAATTGAGATGGTTCAGATTCCAGACACTTGCTTAAGTTTTTGTTCAAGCAAGAAGAATTCAGTCTCATTTTCAGATCACACCTCACACTGTCACTTTGGTAATCAGCACAGCTACAGGTCTTCAGCAGCATCATCCATGGGACATTGGACATGTAGGTTACTAGTCAAAATAGAAGAGAAGCTGTGTCAGGGAAAAACAAAATCCTCTCAGTGTTCCTCCTGGCAGCAGCTGTGGAGAAGCGGGGCCCAGCCTCCTGTCTGATTTTGCAGTGGTGCTTCCTGGACAGGGAGGATTGACCATACTCTGAGGCATTTAGTAGATTTGTGCAGTTCCCAAGCATGGCAGCTGCCACTGAAACAAAGTAGTTTCTCCTACAAAGTGAGCTCCCGGTGAAATAATTTTGGTAAGATCTTGGAATCCATATTCAATTTGTGGTTTCTGAAGAACAGCTTTTCTAGCTTCACAACTTATTGCCGGATACTTTTGGCTAATTTGCCATTTACTAGTTTGAATATTCTGTGGGACTATAGGATAAGAAACGCATAAATATATTAATGGAAAATCTCCAAAAGTAGCAGTAAGCAGAACAGTAATTTCAATATGTGAAAGGAATTTTCTAAATCTGTCTTGGCAAACAACTGTGTTTCTTTATCTTGTAACACAGGACTTGGCCCGGACAGAAATAGATGTCACACATGATCATATATTAACTTTGATAAGCTATGCAGGATGTGGTGCTTCTTCACTTTTTTTGGGAATAACGCTCATGACGTACCTAACCCTTGAGTAAGTAGGATCCTTTTTCTTACACTGATTTCAATATTTTGGCAATAAGGAATTTGCAGCAATTATCAGAATGTTTGCTAGTATTTGATGCTGTGATGCATAAAAGGTGTAAGACTGAGAGTATAAATATTGCTTTATTTTGATGTCTGGTGCAAAATTAGAGAGATTTGAATACTTCTACTTCAATACAAGCACCTATCTTTACTGTTCAGCAATTTTTATGTTCCTAAATTTCACAAAGTCATTGAATGCTTTGGATTGGAAGGGATTACTAAAAGGTCCTCTAGTTCCACCACCTTGCCATTGGTAGGGACACTTTCCCCTAGACCACATTGCTCCAAGCCCTATCCAACATGGCCTTGAACACTTCCAGGGACAGAGCAGCCACAGCTTCTCTGGGCAACCTGTGCCAGGGCCTCACCACTCTCACAGTAAAATGTCTGTAAAGAGTAAAAATTCCTGTAATTTCAAAAATTTACCCCTGGACAATGGTGAGATATTACATCAAGAATCTGGAATATTCCTGTGCATAGGGTTAGGGTTAGACTGCAAACCCACTCCTGTAGGGAGTAAATAGGCTGTAAGTTGAATGATGCAGTGATAACCTTGCGGACTTTCCCCTTTCTTTTAGGAAGGTGCGGAGAGACAACCCCTCAAAAATCCTGCTCAACCTTTGTGCTGCGCTGCTGATGCTGAACATTGTCTTCCTCACCAACTCCTGGCTGACCTCGTTCAACCAGCCAGGCCTTTGCATCACTGTGGCCATGCTCCTCCACTATTTCCTTCTTGCAGCATTCACGTGGATGTGCCTGGAGTCTGTTCACTTTTATTTGGCTCTTGTCAAAGTTTTCAATGTTTATGTCCCAAAGTACATCCTAAAATGCTGCATTGCTGGCTGGGGTAAGTAGACTGAGTTCCTCTCCACTTCTGTGCTTGTCAGCTTCTCTATGATTGGGGCATTTTTACAGAAATAAGTGAAGACACTGAGCTCGCAGAAATGTGATGCACACCCTGCGCTGTAAGGATGGATCTCTTCCTCTAGGCTGTTCAGCTTAAATTTCTTCTGTCCTGGGAGACATTAGCAGAGAGTTTTGTTGGTCCCTGCACAGTCATATGCAACTGAAAGTGGGTGTAAGGCACTGCTTTCTTACTCCTCTTCTCTTTACAGGATGATTTATCAGGGTACCTCACATGAGTGGCAGTAATGCTGCCCACAGCCTTCACCCCTGTGTGAGGATGCTCAGAGGTGATTTTAATTCCTTCTCTGAGCCTTGTGTCCATTTTTGGCATTCTCTAACTGATTCCCATGCACAGAATGGATTTGGCTTTCATTCATGGCTCTCCCAAGGACTTCCCTTGACAAGTATCAGAGACCTGTTTTGGGAGAAACGTACCAAAAAGAACCCAAATTCTGGTTCACCTGTTAGAAAAGGTGTTACCAGAGGCACTGACATAGAGCAGAATTTGGGCTGTATTATTTGGGTCACCATTAGATGCCGTTTTAAAGGTTTGGTTTTTTTTGCTCTTGAATAGTGTGCAGCATATTATCATCCCTATCCTCAAATCTGATGTCCCACACAATTGTTCTTAGGGGCAGCCATCCTTGATGATGCTGTTGGCAGCAGCTGTTCTCTACAGAAAAAGCCAGAACTGAAAAAAAACTGGGAAATGTGTGAAAGGGAAGACTGATAAAGCACTGCCTGGGAAACATGTGTCTCTATGAGCTCTTAAAACAAAATGGTGTGGTCTGCTTATCCTTTGACACTCAGCTTTTGTAATAATCATTTGGTTTTATTTTACCAGATTGGATCCCTTCTGGAGATGTTTGAAGGCTCAGAAACATTTTGCAAACACAGATATTTTTATGCCTACTCATTTGTAATTTGCATAAATAAGGAGATCAAACCTGCTATGCTACACACTTAATTACAGTTGTTTCACAAGGAGCTCTGGGGGTAGAATTTGATCCAAAGATGCACATGTCTGCTGTAATTACATCTCAGAGATTATCTGACATCTTTCCATATTCTGAATTTTTTCTTTTGAATCAAACTATTTATTTTTCTTTTGCTTTCCACATGAGGAATACCAGCTATTGTGATTACTCTTGTGCTCATTATAAATAAAGACTTCTATGGCAATGGGTCACTCTCTAAGAGCCATCCTTACAGCAATTTGTAAGTATAATACTTGAAGCTTTTTGATGGTCACCAGAATATATGAAAAATACAAGGGATAACCAGAAATAACTCACTTTTGTCTCCTCTCTTTCATCTTTACCCTCTCCTTTCAGTGGTTCTGGTTCATAGGAACATTTTGAATGCATGGCTACTACATGGAGTAGTTTTCACATCGGTGAACTTGGCTTGAGGACAGGGAGGGTTTCTGCCAGTCAACTCCATTTTTAGTTTCTGTTCTTTCATTGCATTAATGCAGTCTAATGGGATATTTGTATGTGCTTCTGCATGTTCTGGGTTTCTGGTAAAAATCTAAAGGCACAATGATTGCTCCAGTATTTTGCACATTTCCTTCTGTTATGTTTTTTTTTTAATGTCAATTCACATCATTGTCTCATCATAATTTCAAGTAGTTTTATTTCAGTAGTCTCAAACTCTTCCCTTTTCCAGTGGGAAAACACTGCCTTCTTTCATCCTTTTTTAAAATGCTTCTATAGCAAAGAATGCTTTCATTTTTCCACCTGCTTCTTGTTTAGCACAATCACTTGTTGGTGAAGATTACCTGGAGTGTTTGAGTTTTCTCTCATCAGAGAGGCTACACACCTGTGACACCTCAAAGGGAAAGTTGGTCCCCATCTTTAACAAAAAAGACACAAAGAAAAATAGAAGTAAAATTCATTAATTTATGCCTAAGGAAAAGCTAAGCAGTGGTATGCTATTATTTAGACCCCTAGCTAAGTCATATTCAACTTGGTTTTCCTAAGGCAGCATGTCTTTGTGTTTATATGTTGTTAGGTTGTGAAACAATCATCAGGTTTATCTAAATTTGGCAGAAATATCCGTGTCTTAAAGGTACCAAATTTCCATAACATCCATAAAAAAGACAAGTGCAGGCATTCTGTGAATGTCCTCACTGGGGGAAAATAACAAGTGCAAGGGAATGCCCCTAACTAGGCATTGGATAACCATACAGAATGCTTATTTGGGGAACCAGCTTCCTGAATTTCCCCCTCACAAAACTTCTTGCTGAATACTTACCTCCCTTTCTTGCAGTTGCTGGATCCAGGACAACACTGTGTTCTACATCTCTGTCGTGGCCTATTTCTTCTTAATATTTTTGATGAATACAGCTATGTTCATCATTGTTCTCCTTCAAATCCACTCTGTGAAAACAAGGACACAAAAGACATCCAGATTCTGGAAACGGGGTGCTCTCCAAGACCTCAAAAGTGCTTTCAGCCTGATGTTTCTTTTGGGGTTAACGTGGGGCTTTGCCTTTTTTGCCTGGGGAGCAGTGAGGATATTTTTCTTGTATCTCTTCAGCATTTTTAACACCTTGCAAGGTAATTTCAGAATGGAGTAGTGCTATAAACACAAGGGTTTAGGAATGTGAAATAACAATACATCTGTAATATCATGTCACTCAAGCATGGGGAAGAGGAGAACTGATACTGCTTTTGCGTTAGAGGCTTTAGCTATTTTAAAAGGAAAGCTCTGTTACAGTGGGATGACAGTGTTCAGATAAGTTGCTGTGATAGGTAGACTATTAAAGACATAAATTCATGCCTTGGAAACACAGGTCCCGATAAATGCACCTTGTCAGGAACTGGTACGATCCTTTTCATCTGGGCATAAAAAGGGCTGATAGAATCAACTTGCAGATTATTCTTAAACCAGATCTGCAGAAAACTCTTCCTATTACCTTCACATGCACGAAGAAGTCAGTGCAACTCTTGGCCAACATGATTATAAAATAGTAGAGTGGCTTGGGTTGGAAGAGATCTTAAAGATCCTGGTGCTGGGCCAGGGACACTTTGCCCGCACAGAACACATTGGTATCAGTGGCATGACAGAAGTTTAGAAAAGGGGCGGCAGATTGGAGAACACACATGAAAACCCATGAATCTCTCCTTTCTTCTTTAGGGTTCTTTATCTTTGTGTTTCACTGCCTAATGAAGGATGAAGTAGTGAAGCAGTGCCGAGTACACTTCTGCTGGGGAAGATTTCGTCTGAGTAGTTATTCTGGTAAGCACTGAAGGGGTTTGTTCAGTTGACTCATAAATCTTCGTCTGCTACTGGTGTCACATTTGTTCTGCATTAAGAAATAAGGCTCCTCTCAACAGCCCTTCTGCATTGCATTGGATAACCGTTCTTTAATAGGTCTTTATCCTCTTGCATTAACTGCTTGTGATATGATGACAGGGTGACAGCATGCAGCGAAAACTGCAGATTTCCAAAATGTATTTCACCTTGGTCTCCTAATTCTCTTCTCACATGCCATTCAGTGCTCCCTTATGTGAGCCATATTTTTGGTGGCTTTCCAGTCTTCATATAGCTGAGATTCTGAAATTTATACAGAATACTGGGCATACAAGTTGCAATTTTTATGTGCAGTAGCTGGATTTGCTCAGCCTGGGAAGAAGGGAGATGTCTTGCTGTCTTTGGCTATCTGAGGGGCAGTTACAGAAAAGAGATGGAATTTCAGAGGTGCACAGCAAGAAGACAAGAGGCAATGGACCCAAGCCACAAGTGATGGAAATTCACATTATTTATAAATAAACACTCTTTTTTTGCTAGTTGGGTGGTAGTGACCCAGAGAGATGGTGGAGGGAGTCCCTTCCTTGAAGAGTAATTTAGTTGGACAGATGCCAGACCCACTTGATCCAACTCTGGGCAGGAGGTTGGAGCAAAGACCTCCAAAGTTCCCTTCCAATCTAAATTATTCTAAGATTCTTTTATTTGCCAGCTCAGCAAGGAATAGCATGGGCTTATTCTGGTCTACTCCAGTGATGTTGATTTTTTACTGAAATGTGGAAGAATTTAATAACTCTGTGTGTCTATCAAAATTAAATGATGGTATGAATGGGTATAACAAAGGAGAAGCTTAACTAGTTGGTTTTCAGGAAACCAGACTAAAAATCCTGTATTAATACCTGTGTCTTGTGACCAGCATCCCTTGCACTTTGTGCTGCTGAGGAAGAGGCAGCTTTCCATTTGCAGAGGGAGAATTCAGCACAAGTGCCCTCAGTAGCTACCGGACTGTTCCCCCTTGAGCAGGAGCCAGCACAGTGTTGTGTGATGCAAGAAGGATGAGGCTGCAATTCCTACCCTTCGTGTGACTCCTGCCTCCTTCTGTGTGACCTTATCAAATTAGTATTACTAGACTGGGTCCTCAAGGGGAAATAGAATACTGAGTTGCTGGTGTATAGCCTCACCTGCACAAGCGTAATGGAGCTAATGTAAAAATTAAATCGGGAATTGTGCACTGTGAGGCACAGAGCCCCCCAGCCTCTAGGCAGGAATAAGGATGGCACAGAAAGCAAGCACAGACCATTCTCCTTTCTGCTCTCTGGTACTTTGAGATGTGGCACCTGTACATAATTTTATTTCTGCATCTCCCACTCTCTGATTTCAGACTGGAGTGGGTCAGATGCAACTTCTGGATCTACACCAAAGCATTTAAACCACAGATCACCATCCCAGGCTTTGTGGAGTCTACATTCTAATGGAACAAGTTCAACTTTCAATGCAGATTTGCTTCCCATGACTTCTCCAGATACAAATTTTAAGATTGGTAAGAAAAACTGCGTACACTGCATAGACTATAATGGATATGTACCACAATAAATTCCATATGGTGACAGTCAAATCCTAACTAATGGAAAGAAAAAGGAAACTTTTCACTGCTTTGTCTGTGCCAGGCTTCCATTTGGCAATTAATGGCAACATTACAGATGGCTTTTGCTGTACTAGGGAAAATAAGAAAGCTCTTAAAATCCTGGGATGGCTCTTCTACAAAAGGACAGGAACTCCCTGCTCAGCTGCCACCTTAGGCACCTAAGGAATATTCTACCCTCTGCCAGCTGGCTGACACTCACATGGGACCTATTCCCAGTTAGGGAGCACCGTTGTCTTGAGATAGACTATGGTGCTCTCTAACTGGAGTTGCATTCCCAAAAGAGCAAAGATCTTGGGGATTACGGAAAGCTAAACAGGTCATGTTGTGAGCCTTTTTAAACCAGTAGAATCCCAGCAGAAGGTTTTGCCTTCAAAGATAGAGAAATTGTTGCAGGGCTGTATTCTGAAAAAGGAATAGGACCAAACATTCCTACTTGTTTTTTGAAAAAAATGCTGATTTCTATTATTTCCCCAAGGACATTAAAACTTCATAGGCAAGTTCTTTCTGAACATATTAAACCAAGTTATTATAATGCAAAAATGTTCCCAATTCTTTCCCACAGCTGAAGTCCATTGCAATCCCAGTGCTGTATCTCCAGATGATGAGACCTACCATCCTTTTTCACAAAGAATACTATCCATGGATACAGGGTTGCACTATAAACAGAAAGTAGGATTTTTACACTGATGATGATTTTTTTTTTCCTCTGCTTATCTAATGGTGGTTCCTTTTGAGACTTGTAGAAACAAACATAGTTCTAAGGAATTACATCTAATGTACAGTTATCACTCTGGACACAATTATATAGCTAAACATCCCATGACTCAGCTTTAGGCTTCTTTAGGAGTAGCAGTACTGACCACAAGAGGATTTGGTCCCACTGTGTTTTCCAGATTAGTCCTCATGTTAAACAGAGACTGGAAACAGTCCTCATCCTGAGCCGCGTTCATAGTTCGTCCTCCTTTTTTTCCCCCTTTCCACTGTCCCGATAGCCCTCTGTTTCCATCTTCATCTGATACTTATCTCAGAATTCAATACCTGTAATACTGAGTTACAAGTGATATTTTTGAGACTGTTGGCTGACTGTCCCAGGCGTTGATATCTAGAATCCTTGACCAGTATCTTTCCTTACTTTTCTGAAATGGACTTGGACCACCTTATACTTGAAGAAATTGGATGCAGATTTCCAATCAATTCTATGTTATTTTCAGACATGCTGTCATTGGTGACTTCAACTTTGATTCCTAAAGAGACGTAGATGCATGTCTACATCTGAAATGTTTGAAAATGTTGCCCAGTATTTTCAAATGGAATGTGGAAACAATAAAAACTGAAATTCCCACCTTCAAGGGGTGTCCATATGTATGATATAGGCTTCAGATGACCTCTCCTGAAAAAACTTCAGAACTAAACCCAAACAGAACAATAGCAGATAAACCCCTACTATCATTAGAGCTGGAAATAATGATGTTTTCCCTTTAGCGTCGCTTTACTTTGAATACCACCGGTAAACTCCATTTCGTGACATCACAAGAGAGACTTAACTTTCCTCATCTGCTGAGGAGAGGGTTTCTTTCAGCAAATGTGTTCAAACTGGTAATTTGCCTGCTCAGCCAAGTCCTAGTTTCTGTTTTGAATGCCCTTCTCTGTATCACTCAAGTAAAGATTCTTAAATGATTGTTAATATAGTGGAATACTAAGCTGTACCCATGACAGAGGAGTAAAATAATATAATGAAGTGATGTCTTAGAGCTGGTATGTATGATACAAAATACAAAAGGTTCTTTCAGTCAGAGAATAACTCCCACATAGCAGTTAGTGGGAAAAGATGAGTATTTTAAGGTACAGTACCTACAGCCAATCTACTTGAAATCAGACAGATGTCCTTCAGTTCCTTTATGGAGAAAATGGAGCTTTTTTTTTTTTTGGAGCTTTGTGGGAGAAATCTTGGCACTAAAAACAGGCAAACAAGTTCCACCCCATACCCACGTGTTTCTACCTTGAAATTGCTTTCAAGGGGAATGAAATTCAATAACAAAGGTAGTTCATTTGTTGGGCATGAGCTATTGCATTTTTTTTATTTTCTACAGTAAACTCTTTGTTCCACAATCTGGTGCTGAATACAAGCTTTCCCATGTGAAGCACAACACACTGTGCTGTGGCGCTAAAGCTGTGCCTAACCCCCCTCTACCCCTAACCTGGCTGCTGCACAGCCCAGGGAAATCCTGAGAGACTGATGAAGGAGGCTCTCCAGTTTTTTAGGGGAAATGGAGATTTAGTCCTCCCCTGAGCCCCTTTGAGACCAGTTTGACTCCACTACATCAATACGATCAGGTGGGTAGGCAGTCTGATGTGTCTCCATCAACCCGCACTTTCTCCTTCCTGCGGTAATTCTTTTTACATTCACTTCAGAGGACAGAAAATAATAGGCTTACATTTCAAATACACATTAGGTAACAATTCCTATTTTCAAGGAATAAGAGGCCTAGAGAGCACATGGAATTGCCATCACCGCAGGTCTTAAAAAACACTCAGGGTGATAAGACAAATATCTGCCAGAATTGGTATAGATTGATTTTCCCTTAGAGCAAGTCCTCCAAAATGTATTTTCTATGACTCTAATTTAAAATAAAAAGACAGCAGAAGAGGGCAAAACATGAGAGCAACATAAGACTAGCCTTGTCTCCTGCATGCTGTAATTATTTTTTACATTCTTGATAAAAGCTGAAATGCACCTTGATTTTCTAAAGTTTTTGCTACATGCCCTTGTAAAGGATTAGGAGCAGTAAAGATTCAGGTAAAAGCTGGACAAGCAGCAAGAAAAGTGCTGCAGTACAGAAGACTTCTCAGGCTGCTGAGAAAAGTTTGGAAATGCCATTTCTTGGGCGGATCCATCAGCATGCCTTTACACTTTGGAGGTGTACCAGTGGGAAGAAGGGCAAGTTGCACAGGTGGAGGTCTCCATTCTTTCTACTGATTTTTGTTGTTGTTGTTGTTGTTTTTTTTAAAAAGCAAAATCTGAAAGTCAATTTTTAAAACTCTGTCAAGTTGCTCACATAAAATGCAAAGCGCTATTTGTTCTGGGAAGGCGGTTAGCTCACATCCACTCTCCACTACATGCCTAATGGCTTTTCCAGCTAAACAGTGTATCATTTATGTTTCAAGCATGGCATTGTGTAGGTTGTCAGCTGGAATGAAGATGTGTAATTTTCCTCGGGCTGAAATAATATCTTCCACACCAGCACTGTAGCATTTGCTCTTCTCCAGCATATCTGTGCTGACATTCTGTCACAGAATTGTGCATTGATGGTTTTAACAGGGAGAGGGCATGCACAGAAACAAATCTCATGAAATTTCTACATGCTGATAATTTTAAATGATGGGAGCAGCTTCTGCAGCCCTGGCTGGAGCTGTGACCAGTGTGTCACCAAGACAAGTGCATCCTCCTCCTCCCCATTTGGATTCTATCAGTTGACTTCTGCCCATGGCAGAAGGCTGAAATGAGATGATCTTAAGGTCCCTTTCAACCCAAACCATTCCATGATTCTACGACTCAATGTAAAAGCAACTTAGATTTCTAAGTTGTTCTCAGTTTACTCCCAGATTGTTTATTTTTAGTGATACATACACTAGGAAATGTGTGCTCTATTTTAAAGCAATAAAAGGATTTCAGAAGGTATATTCATTTGAATTTTTTGAAATCAGATCTCAGTGGGCTGAGATCTTCTTTTGTATCATCCACATAGGTTAGATGATACAAAAGAAATAAAAAATTGTTGTCATCTTATTGCAGGGCTCCCATACCTTATCGGTGATTTCTCATGGGTAGCTCCTCACAGCACTAACTCCTTCTTCTTCACAGTACAGACAACAAAGTCCAACTCTCTTCTCAACCAGCTAACCCACTCTTTTGTAGCACTCGTCTTCTTATTGGACACAGCTGTGGCCTATTAAGAGCAGACCTGTTCTTAATCTTTGGTGACTGGTACAGCTGCAAATCCTCAGGTGTGAGACTACGTTCTGCACTATCTTTATTTTCTTAAAGTCTACCCCTCCACAAAAAATGACAGTAAAATCACAGCAGAAGCTGTGGCAAATAGAACAAAATCTCCCCACTCCCACCTTACTATTAAGACTGGCACAAAACTCCACCACTCTTCATCCTACCTAAGTCAGGGGGTGCAGATCCAAGATGTAGGCAGCTCATTCATGGGTTCCTGGAGACTTTTTAAGTCTGTTCACGGACAAGTAGCTAAAGCTGTCTTCTATTTCAGCATATGTACAGTGGTTTGGTAACCCTGGGATAGATAAATCTTACATAGGATGACAGCTAAAGGTTAGTACAGCTTGTTTAAGCTTCCTCCTGCCTGTGTGAATCTGAAGTATTGGTAGCAGTACACCCAAGATGTGTGACTCTTTCTACATTTAGCAGACAGTTATTACTGGGACAACAAAAGAAATGTCATTATGGGAAATGATTTGAGATTAAAAATCAAAATACTGGGAAGATAATTGCCTATTGCATAAGATGACTGTTGAGCCTTAATGCACAATTCTCTGTGCTTTTAGGTATCAGAAAGTATTTAGCATGTCATGGCACTTTAATGGTCCCAAAGTAAATGAATCATGGAGAGTTTCAAGGATGCCCAGAAGAATTATCTTTGCTATATTATTTCATTGCCTGATTGCTCCTGTAACTAGAGAAGTGCATGGGTTTCATTCCAGTGTTTATTTTTCTCTCTTTTCTAAGAAATGACACCGATATTTCACTGTCCATTCCCAAACTGAAACTGGCTGAGGAAACTCCTGGAAAAGGGGGCTGGAAGGGATGCAAGAATAGAAAAACAGGATAAAAGTTATGTGGAACCATAGATTAATGACAGCATTTGAGATCCTGTTGCAGGCAAATTGCATCACAATAACTCCACTGAACAGTCTGGATTTGGGCATTGTAACAAGATCTGAAACTCTTTTCTAATATTTTAACCAAAAAGATACCCCATCTTGTTGCTGCATCACCAAATGCTCCTTTGGACAGCTCCTCTGAACTGACCTTCCATCTCAGTTTCATAACAGTGAGGGCTGAGATGGTGTTATTTTTGCTCCTAGGCATGCTGATAAGTCTTGTGGTAATTGAAAGTTTAATTGGGTATCTCATCTTAGTTTCAAAAAACAGGGACACTGCTCCAATTAAATGTTGCTGCAGGATTTGGTGCCCCAAGTCTCAGTACCTGCACGGCTCCCTTTGCCCTTGGTGTAAAATCAACTCCACACAGATAAACCCAGAAATAAACCAATGTTTTTTTCTCCTACATGTGTAGTCTTTTACAATAAATGGTTACACTCTATTATGAATGTGACACAGATGAGGAAATTGTCTTTGAAGTGTACTAAAAACATTTTCCATTTTCATAGCTTAGTAGTTGCTTTGTCTCCAGCTGCTCAGGAGACTGGGCAATGGTAAAAAAAAAATCAGTACAGGATAGAGAAGATGTTCCCACTTAGTGGTGAAAAACACCAGACTGACAGACACTGAAATCAAGCTCTTGTCATCACAAGTGAAGAAATCCAGCGTGGGCAGTGCCCTCTGCAACATTCCTCCCCTTTGCCTGAGAATTGTCGCTCTGAAATAGATGCCTGGCAAGATAGGGAGGTGATGTTCTCTGTTTTGGGAGGCATTCAATGTGGTACATGGAAATGA